ATATAACCAAAATGTTTTAGAACTGGAAGCAAATAAGAGATTAAGTTCTGAATCTGCATTTTACTAATAATAAAAATAAAAACACGCAAAAGCCCTGGGAGACTTGGAGACTCATCTAAGGTAATTCTGGCGGAGTCAGCACGGGAAGCCCAGGCATGCTGACGCCGATCCTCCAGCCTCACTCTGACCTAATGAGTGAGGTCGAAATATTCATGAGTTTAGGAAGAAAATACGCACTCGGATTTAGTTACATATAGATATTTATAAACATGCCTATGCGTAAACATGTTTTTGTAGGTTAGGTTGCTTAGTTGGTAGAAAGATGACAGGAGATGAGAGTCATTTGCCAGGGAAAGTTAACATATAAAAGAAAATGGTTTTCTATTTATAGACTTGAGTCTTTATTTTAAATAGCCCTGTCGTCTTGCAAAAGTGTACGGTTGGTTGTGTGGGGAGGACAGAAGAGGAGTGGATAGTTGCATAGATGTAATGAGTAAAATCAGAGTCATTATCACCGGAAAAAAAAACCTGAAACGTAGGTGATAATGGTAGAATAGTAGTAGCATTATTTTGCCATTTCACAGAGGACTGTATTTTAAAGTTTGTACACATGTGTATTTAAGGGCTCGATTGTGGGTTTTTCACAAGGGAGAAAGCCTATATTTTCATCTAGAAACAACTAATGGGAAATTAGCATACTTCTTTCAGAGGTGTATAAATAGAATTACTGGGAAAATTCACCAGTAATCTGGGAAGTAATTTAGTCCCTAATGCCAGAAGGGTTAGGGCTTTAATTAGAGGATGAGTTTAATTCTTTGGATGTCTTTATTAAATTTTATTGTCTTATTTCTTTCGTAAGATATTTTTATCTATATGTAGTAAATCACACTAACTTAGATTCATTATTATGCTTCATTTAAGATAAAAAATTAGTAGTCACTTTTCAGTATTTTTCTTACAGATAGAAGCCTCATCTTAAAAAAAATACTTTCTTAACCCAGTACCACAAGAAGTAATGACTTCTAAATAAAGTAATTTCTTAACTATGCCTCTGGTTTTGGGGTCTACCTCCAGTTTTGGTGTCTGGCAGTATTTCTATTATTAAAATCAACCAACGTGTTTCTGCTGCTTCTCTTACTATTGTAATGTGGGCCTATTTAGTTATAGTTTTTTTCCTTGAATTAAAAAATGATTTTTTTACTACTTTGAATCTATCATATGACATAGTAACTCAGTGTAACTGAAAATAATACTTTTCTGAGGGGGGAAGTTTGTCATTTCACGATCTAGTCACTTCCTTCTATTGTTCTGAATGAGTTAGATATAGATTTGTTGGTGTGAGTGTATACACTTGTTTCTGTGATTGTGGAGTTGTACATATGTGCATTTATAGAGTTGGTAGCTAAAGTCTCTGATTTTCAATATTTCTACCATTAATGGCTACAAGTTAATAACTTGCTAGTTTATCTGTTTTGAATACACTGAGTGGCAACAGAAAACTTGACCTAACAGTGGCTTAAAACCATTGGGATTTATTTTTCTCATGTAAAAATAAGTCCCCAGGCTGGTAAGTTCAAAGGTGATACCATAACTTAGGATGTCATCAAAAACTCAGGTTCCGCCTGTCTTCCTGCTCTGCCATGTGGCTTTCCTCTTTAGGATCATAAGTGACTGTTCTACGCTAGACCTCATGTCCTCATTCCAAGCAGAATGAAGAAAGAGATGCCTCTATCAGGAAAACAAAAGCTTTTTCTGAAATCCACTCCAGAGTTACACTGTGCAAAAGAGGCTGTGAAGTCATTTTGTAAGTGGAGCACAGGGCCATTCCACACACAGTCAGGGTTCAACTAGTGAGTGAGAGGTGGAAAATAGATACTGAGTAGTAGGCACCTTTCAGTATCTGCCACATCCCATATTGACCCTTCATTTTGGTTCAGATTTAAGGGATGATTAATTTCCTCCTGTAAGAATAGCAGCCAGCTATTTAAAAATTAAGCCACTGTGCTCTTCACTCTTCAGAGGGCATCAGTTATTTACATAATCGGTAACGTCTTCAAAGCTGTGTATCTGCAGTCTTGAAATGTGGCCCAATTCTCTGTTTCTAACTGCCTGCAGGATGGTTCCACTTGGAAGTTTGCTGAATAGTTCAAATACAGTTATGTTCAAAGCTAGCTATCATTATCTTTATTTATTTCACTGAGGGTTGTGAGCATTTACCTAAAGATAAAAACTTAGAAAAATCCTAACTTTTTAAATTTCTTTATTTCCTAGTCTACGTTGCCATCAACTGCAGTCTTCTGCATTGAAATGTCTGGGAGTTCACCCCACCCCCAAATACTGTCACTGCTGTAATCCAGACTCTCCCTTCCTCATTTGGGCATTATTTACAAGGTTTTGTAGCCGATATCGCCAATCCTGTTCTTTCTCTTTTGTTCATTCTGCCAGTCATTAACAGTCTAATTTTCTTGAGACCTAGTTTCCTAAATATTTCTTCCCTAAAGAGTTCGTAAACCAAATCCACATTGCTTTCCTCTTTTAAAGTTTCATTCATACCTTACTTTTCTTGTTTAACCTTATTTACCTTTATTTTTCAGTATAAAGAATGTTCTCTTTGACACACTGCTTACCATCACTAATAGATACACTGTATAAATTTCTGTCATAGGGACTTTTATCCTTTTCTAATTGTGTCCCCAAACCCCTACTCTTAACCAGTTTTGACCTCATCTTTCCAAATCCTAGATTTCAAGGCTTAGCTTCTAAATTCCTTTCTTGACGATCTTGTCTATGTTCTAAACTCTTTTGAAGAAGTATGGTACAGTGGAATTTCTTTGGTGTCAGAAAAGCATGGGTTTAAATCTTGATTTAGCCACTTACTTTTAGCAAGTTAACCTTTCTAAGCTAGTTTCCTTATCTGTAAATTATAAATAATTATGTGCATACACGTGTGTGCACACACACAGCTTTTTATGAAAATAAAATGAGGTAATATTTAGTAAAGTATAGTAGTAGTTAGTATTAGGGATTGTTGCAGGAAAACAAAAGCTTAGAATAATATTATCTTAAACAAAGTTGAAGTTTATTTTTCTCTTATGTAGACGTCTAGGAGTAGGTAGTTCAGGGCTGATGTGCTAGTTTCATGTTCATCTGGGACTCAGCCTTCCTCTGTCTTTCTTTTGTGCCATTCTAGTGCATAATTTCTACATCAGAATTTAGAATACCACGTAGTACAAGGTGACTGCTGGAGCTCCAGCCATCATAGCTGCATTCTAGCTTAGTCAGCTGTCTTTAACCAGCCTTTCTGGAAGTCCCTTACAACTCTTCTGCTTATAGTTTCATTGGCCAGGACTTAGTTACATGACCAAAACTTATTAAAAGGAGGCTGTGAAGTTTAATCTTTTAGTTGGGTATGTTGCTGTACGAAGTGAAATTAGTGTTTTATTACTAAAGAAGGAGATAAGAATATTGGGTGGCTACAGGCAGACTCAGTCAGTTACTTATTGTGGTGCCTGGCAAATGGTGAGGCCTCTATCTTTTCTGTTGAAAGTAAGCTTAGCACCTAATTCTTCTTTGCTTCATGTGTATCTTATTTTTCCAGTTACATTGAAAGTTTCTTGGGGGATAAGGACCATGTATCATACTTACGTTCCAAAACACTTGGTAGAGTGCTTGGCACTTGGACCACGTAGTAAGAATTTGGGATGCGCAGTATTTGTTAAGTAATTGATTTTACTTTCCACTTTTCCACATACTTCTTTTAGCCTCTTGTTGGATATTTCCCTCCTGCATGAGTATTTAATACTTTTCCTTAAAGTACAAACTAGCAGCTCATGTGAGAGGATATACTGAAGATTTTCATTCTCTTGATAATCTCCTGCCTTCTAACGCCTTAAAAGTTACCCTGTGGAGTTGATAACCTAACATTTTATCCTCCTTTGATTAATGTGTTTTGAACTTTTTTTTTTTTTTCCTATACCTAGTGCTTTGGGGTAAATTCTCCCAGATTGAATCTAAAGAGTAGTGCACATATGTATATTACATAAGCCTATTACATATGTATCTCTAATATACTTGGTCTCTGTGAATATATAGAATATGACTTTTCAAAATGCTATGTTTGGAAAGGCTTCAGGGAATTATTTTTTTTGTGTGTATGTGCATATTTAATTCACCAATTTATTTGTAAGAAAGCTTATTAGTTTGAAAGGAAGTTTAGGTCACATTTCTTCGTCAAGTTGTTTTTGAGCTCTTAGATATTTTTCTTTTCTTCTCCGACTGTGGATGAGAAGAGAGGAATAAGTAACTGGAGAAAAGAAACTCCATGAAGATAAAGAAATAGCAGTATTATTTCTTTCCCATCTGCTTGGGTCAGAGTTTATGGAAAAATAGGATCTTATGGTATCAAAGTATCTTGTGATGGAAGAGTTATATGAGTTCTTTTTATTCTGCTCTGGAACACACAAGATGGAATATTTTAAACATGCCATATTCTTCCTCATAATTTATTTCTTTATGGGAATATATTACATCATTAGTACATAGATATACAAATATAATTCAATTTATTTCATACCCCATCACCAGTATGCTAATATATTGATACACTCAAACGTGCATATGCCTTATATAAACACATATATAAATGTTACAAGATAAAGATACACTGTTACAAATTTTTCTTAGAACAGACAGAATAAATAAATAAATTAAAAAGTTATATACCATTCAGTGAGTATACTCTAAAAGAGTAGGTGGATAGACACATGTGAGTGGTTATTTGTTTCTATGTTTAGGTAGAATCCTAAGTGGGTGGGAGAGAGGGGCCTCATTAACTCATAATCACACAGTGTTAATAAGAATGAGAATACATGTTAACTAAAAATCATAACTTTACGATGCTTTTAATGATACTTTTTGACCGGTATACAAATGACATAGAGCCTTTTGCAGAAAGTTGACATTTCTTTATAGTTTGACTTTATTTGGTTTTGTTCTCATAGATGTTTTCTCCCAGATGTCAGATTCCAATGGCTTAATGATATTTAGCAAGTTTGACCAGTTTCTGAAGGAAGTTCTGAAGCTCCCAACAGCTGTCTTTGAAGGGCCTTCTTTTGGTTACACAGAGCACTCAGTCCGCACCTGTTTTCCACAGCAGGTAAGGACGGTGTTACAGTACCCAGGGCTAGAGGAGCGCTCGTCCCTCCCCAACCTTTTGTCACATTTCACCAGATTACTTCAGTCTAGGGATACAGACTCTGAGTAGGGGAGTGAACAGAGCTTTAAGTCTGGGGGAGGGGCGGGGGGTGGTGGGTATATAAGGGGTTGAAAAAGACGGGGGATAAAAATTTACCTGAGAACTCTTTTGTGGGGGGAGAAGGGACGTCTCTTCTGATAACATTCAAAATATTTTAAATTACTAAAATGTAAAGAAAACTGTTCAAGATGTTTATATTATTGCTAATGGGCATATATTACTCTCCCTGAGTTCTTTAAACCATGAAATACAGGAATTTTGATATAAAACTCTATGCAATGCTGGATCATTGTTTCCTGAGCACTGAAGACAAGCGATGCTGTACGGCTCCTCATTGCCAGCTCAGATCTCTCAAGGATACACCGCCATTTTCATATAAAAGAAAAATAGATTCGGTTTTCTTTTTATTTGTGGGTGTCCTTTGGTGGTCCTTCCTGAGAGGTTGCTATGAGTGTGTTCCTAAGATCTTAACTATGCCTCGAAAGACTCGGAGCAGAGTGGAGACTGGCCATAGCATCCGTTGTTTCAGGTAGAGATGAGATAAAAGGAACTTCATATACACTTGGAAAGTTCTAGAAAGCAAGGAATTAAGAAAAAAATCTACAATAACACTGATGGGTGAAGGATTAATGGAAAGAAGCTATCAACATAGTCTGAATGTATTCTCCCCATAAAATATTTATTAATTACAAAGGAAACATAGTAATCTTCCAGTGAAGAAACTTGTTAGATGCCACTTTAACCAACTGATCAAATTCATATCACCAGTGAAAGGATAGGCTAATATCCCTGTCTCCTGGTAGGATGCACTGAGAATTACTCAGTATTACCCTATGGTGGTGCTCCCCAACCTTTTTGGCACCAGGGACAAGTGCTCCTATGAGAATCTAATGCCTGATGATCTGAGGTGGAGCTGAGGCGGTGATGCTAGCGCTGGGGGGTGGCTACAAATACAGACGAAGCTTCCCTCACTCACCTGTCGCTCACCTGCTGTGTGGCCCAGATCTTAGCAGGCCATGGACCGGTACTGGTCAGCAGCCTAGGGGTTGAGGACCCCCGCTGAAAATGGGATGCAGCCAATGATCCAGGGTTTTCTTTTGTTGTAAAGGACATTATTGGGACAATTGGAAAAATGTGAATAAAGTTTGTAGACTAAATAATCATATTCTGTTAGTGAATGTTAATTACCTGATATTGATATTTGTATTTAATTATGTTAGAGATTATCCTGGTTTTTAAGAAATACAGTCTGAGGTATTTAAAGGTAAAGGGCCATCTCTTCTGCAGTGTTAACATTTGAGGAATCTGGCTGGGTTAACAGTAAATGGGAATTTTTTTCGTCATCTTAGAACCTTTTGTAAAGTCTCAAGTTATTTAAAAAGCAAAAAGTTAAAATATAAAAGGACTAAATCTAAAGATTTGAGAACTGAAAGGACGCTATGCACTAGATCCTCCTGACCTGTGATACTTCGATTCACAAAAGAACCAAGAACAAAAACACATACACGCCCCTTTTTACATTAATAGTTAAGAATTCATATTTATCTGAATTGAGACTCTCAAACAGTTATTTTGTAATTTGTTTAGAGATTCTCAGCTTTAGCACTAAAGGTGGCACCTATATACTGGAGAGTTATTTGTAGTAACTTCTGAGATGTTTTTCCCAAATTTGTACAGACTTTGGCTGATTCTTTTTGTGGAAATTAGCCTCTTTACATTGCTTATTATTTCTCTTGGCATAAACGGCAGTATCAGCTTTGAGCATGTTAAAAACATCTCTGTGCTTCAATTTATTCTAAAAAAGCAGAGTTTGCTTCCCCTCCCCCTATCCTCGCCCAGC